GCTCGCTCGACCAATTCAAAGATGGCCTGGAAGCATTAGACGCCGAGGCCAAGCGCCTGCAGGGTACCGGCGATGAGAGGTGAGCTTCCTCCTCCTTTGGTCCTGTCCCTTTACCTATACGACGGAATCCTCCAGAACCGACGTTCATGCCGGAATTTTCTCCGAATTCTGCGCGAGAGCATCGTGGCCCATTTTCTGTGCGTTATACGGTATGCTAATCTGGACGCTACTTCCCGCAGCGCCGCCCTGAACATCACCGACTCCCTCCCCGCGCTGCAGAAGCAATTATCAGACCTGACCTCCCAATTCCACGGGTTCTCGAACCCCTCCACCTCCTCCACCACAACCTCGCCAAACGACCCCTCCCTCGCCGCCGACTTTGACGCCGCCCAGTCCACGAAACCCCTCAAGGGCTCCCTTCGGGGCCTCCCCGGCGGTGCCGCCGCCGCAAACAACAGCAAGACCGTCCGCTTCACCGATTCCCCCGGCGCCGCAGCAGCGGCCGAAGAAGACGCCGCCGCCGCAGCACTCTTCGGCCCCGGCCGGTACCGCGACGACCCGGCCGACACGGCGGGCTACCGCGACCAGGCCGAGGGCATGGACAACCAGCAGATCCACGCGTACCACTCGCAAATCATGCGCGACCAGGACGACCACCTGGACCGGCTGGGCGAGTCCATCGGGCGGCAGAGGGAGCTGAGCATGCAGATCGGTGACGAGCTCGACTCGCACGTCGCCATGCTGGACGAGGTGGACGAGGTCGTGGACCGGCACCAGGGCCGGCTCGACCGGGCGCGCCGGTCGCTGGGGAAGGTCGCGCGGGACGCTGGGGAGAATAAGCAGATGATGACGATTGTCGTGCTCATCATCATTCTGGTTTTGCTGATTGCAATTCTGAAATGATGAGCGAGGGTATGAAAGGATGAAAGGATGGGGAAGAGAGAAGCGGCAGCGGCAGCGGATGGGTCATAGTCATGGACGGGCAACCTCTCTTTGATTTTTGTCTGTTTCGTTGGGGTTTCCCTCTTTGGTTCGGGACCCGTCCTCGTCAGAGAGACAGGCACGGGAGACATATAGGTACTTGTTTAAAGTCTTTCGAGTATAAGGCGCATAGCATGGTTTGGCGTTTTAGGAGTCTTTCTTTCAATCAGAGTCAATTTCTTCGTCTATTATAGCAATCATTCTTTAGATATCTCTCGGTCATGTATTCCGACGGGATTCGCGAAGAAAGCCTACGCGGCCCCGGGTGAACTAGAAGGAGAAGGGCCAACGGAACTGAATGGTTGATCCACATTTCGGTAATGTATCACCATGAACGTGAATGCGCTCCTGCAAAAGGTATGCATTTGAAAATGCATTTTCGCACTTGAAAGAGTTTCATCTTCATCTTGCCGTCGTTGAGCCTTGATATATGCACTCCGGCCCACTAAACCTCGAAGCCTCCAAAATAACTTCATCGACGGTCTATTAGTCTAGTTGGTTAGGACGTCGGATTCTGATACTCAGTACCTTCCGTAGGCCCAGGTTCGAATCCTGGATGGACCTCTTTCCCTTTTGTCACTTTTGAATATGATCTCAATCTTGCGATAGTGATATCAGCATTCTTTTTGGGTTTATATTACATGAGGAACATTTGAGTTCGTTGCTTGATGATGACGGGAGTTCAGGCGGTACTGCTGTGATGGCTTCACTCTATAAGGCCAAGCCTCACTTTGTTACAACATGCCAGTCTTGGCCCCGACGCCATGTAATTCTGCACATATTCAACATATAATTGCTTCCATTATCGTCGTTCGACTGAGAACTATAGTCAACGAGACTAACAGATGACAAGCCTCGTCGGGTCTTAGGCAACGTTAACTTTAATAAACTCTTAGCTAGTAAAACAAACTCCCGCCTTCGCCCGTTTTCGAACAAAAAAGCCAATTCCAACTTTTCTCTCACACACACTTACACACAATTTCTATATCCTCACAACAATAGCCTCCCGCACCAAACGATCCCGAACGCCCCCAACAGCAGCAGCATTCACAAACACAGTCCTCCCCGTACCCCTCCGTCCCCCATGCCACCACAGCACCCATCCCCAGACCAGGAAACACCAACCCAGAGCAAGCAAGGCCTTGAACCACGCCATCACCACATTGCCTACACGACGACCGATGTTAACTCCAACACCACCACCACCACCGCCGCTAGCAACCACGGCAAAAGCCTCGGCCTCCAACAAGACAACCGCCTCATACGCCGCCTGCAACCCGTCAAACGCCACCGCCTCCCGCCCGCGACCGCAGTGCACGTGCCCAAAGACGTGCAGACGCGGCCGCGCCCGCCAGACTTCGGCCAGGAGCATTTCGCACCCCCAGTGGCCGCGCGGGTCGTCCATGTGGCCCTTTGGCGGCGCGTGGGTGACGAGGATGTCTGTCCCGGGAGGGATCGTGCCGCGCCAGGGGTCGCAAGTGGCGTTGTCGACGTCCGTCGTGCGCAAGGAAGAGGAGGAGGAGGAGGAGCAATAGGGGGCAGCGCCGCCGGAGCGCGGGTACTGAAAGGCCCAGTTGCCGTGCCGCGGCGTATACGGACTACCGTAGACGCGAATCTCGCGGTCAGCGTACGTCCTGTCCCCGTCGTTGAGACGGCGCGGGGGTATCGTGAGGGTCGTTGCTGTGCGGTTTAGGTAGACGATGTCGCCCCAGCTCAGAGGTGATCCGTCGTCGTCGTCGTCGTCGTCGTCGTCGTCGTCGTCGTCGTCGTCGTCGTCGTCTTCACCATCTCTGCGTGATATCGAGCTCCCCTCGCCGTCTCGTGGCCGTCCACCAAGCTTGATCCCCTTGCCATACCCCTTATCCAAACACAAATCGTGATTCCCCGCCACGATAACCTTGAACCGGTGAGGCTGCGCCCGAATCCACCCCAGCGCCTCCCGCAGCTCCCTCCTAGTGCCCGAGGCCGTGAGGTCGCCCGCGTGCACGAGGACGTCGCCCGGCGGCAGGCGCGGTTTGGTGTTGTGCGTGTCCGAGACGCAGACCACGGTCACGGCGTCGTCGTTTTTGTCGTTGCCGCTGCCGCTGCCGTACGTCACGGGATGCGAAACGGGGAAAGAGTCGTAGAGGTATCTCGCAACTGTCGAGAGGGGGCTGGAGAGGAGACGGGTTGCTATTCCGTCGTCTTCTGGGCGGTTGAGGATGGCGTCCAGGCCGGATGAGGAGCGGAAGAGTGGCATGTTCGTCTATCTCTTTCGCTCACTCTTTTGCCTCTGTGCTGTTTTGAGTGATGTAAGATGCCATGTATCCTGAGTTTTTCTTCAACCGTAAGCCCTCTGATGGTACTTTTTCGAAGAATGGTGCCTGATTTGTGTAAGTCGCCAGGTGTCTTCAACGCTGCTTTGCCCCTGATGAGGTGAGACGGACGAAATCGTTATATATCTCTCCAGCGAAAAATGATGTGACGCAAAAATCGCGGACCAAAACCTGCGAGTCTGTATAGTCACCCTGACAAACGACAAGAAAGAAAACCAAACACAATCACGGAGGGCGGGTAAGTTCCATCACAAGTGAGAAAACCTCAAGCCATCTCCGATGAGTCTTACAAGGTGGTGAGAGAGTTCTTTTTGCACCACTCAGAAAGCCCCCGCGTGATTGCCCCTCCAATGGAAATGACATGATTGTGACAAAATCACCAGATCTGTGTGTTTTCTTCCCCCGTAACGTGGGTCAACTTTCTGACGAGACCTGGCAACGCCATTTGCGACGACACCGTAAAAATCGTAACGCGCTTTTGGGTGAACAGATGGACTGCTTGGTATTCTTTGCTCAAACATGCCTACCATCTGATCAACACAAATTTGAACACCTTGACGAGAACCTCACTTTTTACCCCAAGAGGGTCGGTCCCCTCATCTTTCGCTGCTCCATGGGAAATCAATACATAGTTGCTAGTTTGAGTGGAACCCCTCAGACTCGGAAAGATGGTTGATAGAAACGGTGGATCAATACACATGAGCATGCTCTACTATGCTTTGACCAAAAACAGATTCCAAAGGCCGTCATGATAAAAAGAAGGCGGTTCATATCGCATCAATCGCAGTTACCAAATACCTCACCCTGGCCTGGATAAGTCCGAGTGATTCAAACATAACCGACATCACAATCAAGTCAAGTCAACTCTCTGTCAAGAATCTGGGTATGCATATTTCCTTTCCGATGAGAGACTAGGTATTTGTAAGATGGAGGAAAATAAAAGCGACAGCAACGACGACGCCGACAAAACACCACCCTCCGCCACCGTAGGATAGAACAAAAAAAGCTTTCCGCCAGGAAAAAAATTCCACAAAACTTCTTTTTTTTTGGAAACCCATCTTTCCCCCAACTCATTCCTTGCCAACACAAAAAGGAAACACTAAGTAGCTTGAAGACGTGATCGAGACCCCGACGGGCAAATCAGACAATACGAGGCGGCCCGAGGGATAAACAACATGAAACAGTGAGCCCGAGCTAGACAGTAGCCGAGCGTGATATCGTACAGGTAGGGGGGAGGAATATGGACAAGCTTTGTTGTCTCGATTAGCCTCTGCGTATCTCGATTGCTGGGCAACAACTTGCTACCGTTGCACCGTTGCTCCGTATGGAGGGGTTCAGGGGTCTCCTTTGACCCGAGGCATCACCATTTGCGCTGCAGACAGTTGGTGAAGTCTCGTCCCGAGGTTGTGCAGAATTTTGCCTGCCCCTCCAGGTGGGCTTGGTCGAGAGTGAAGGGATGGATGCCCAGATGCCAAACGAGATCGACATAGGATATGTGGTGGATTGAGCTTCCAGCCAACACCGAACGTCCAAAATGCTTGCCAAACACCCGCACATGAACAGCTCTGAGATCCCAGAGCCAGAAAGCCAAGCACTAAGACGCCGCCATGCTGCATAATGATGACATAAAAAAGGCATTACTGAGCCTGCGTAGCCAGACTCGTATTAGAGCATAACCTGAATGTCCAAAGACACCCCTCCAGCTTACGCCGGGTTGCCCTTCATTCTCTTTGCCATCCGCGGCGTAGGCGGCTTGCCCTTGTTCTGGACTCCATTGACCTGGGGACCACCCGGGGTAGGTGCCTGGGAGCCGTCCTCCTCCATCTTCACGCCGGATGGGCGTCTTCGCTTGTTGGAAGCTGGAGACGTGTTTGCACTAGGTCCGCTGGAGCTGGTGCCTTGCTGGCTCTGTTGCATCTGCATGCCGGGTGCCTGCATGTGGCCTTGCGCAGGGCTTCCAGTGACATGAGGCGAGCCAGGAAGCTGCATGTGCGGCTGAGCCGGGCTCGCACCCATTGGGAACTGACCGAAGCTGGGTGTCCTGGGAGCTTGGGGCATGGGCTGACCGTTCATGACTTGCGGCTGGGCGTTGATCTGGCCGACGTACTGCTCAAGAGCAGCGTAGGGGCCGAGGTTAGGGTGGTTGTGGTAGAAGGCGAAAAGGGGGTTCATTTGGCCGATCACTTCAGCAATCTGCATGTCATCTTTAGTGCCGGAGATCCACATGCATGTGCGGGCGAGCTGTCACATACCTCGAGGAACTGGAACACAGCTTCGGTAACCCCCATACCCCTCTTGACCGCCGACTCCGGAAGATCCACCAGTGCTTCTGGCGGAGGATTTTGCGGGGACTTCATCATACGAGCCTTGCCCTTCTTGCTCATTTCTGGGGAGGTCTTGGTGTCAGGGGAGTTAACCTTGTGCCACTCCTTCACCCAATTATGCACGGGCTTCGCAGCTTCGATAGCGGCCTTTCTAGAAATGTATTCTTCGTGGTTGGTTGTCAAGAATTCAAAGAGTTCAATCTTTTGCTCCGCATCAAAGTGGGCTCTGACGGTGCCCGTAGCGACAAGCTGCGCGCAAGATTAGAAGCTGTATCTGTCCTCGGCAATAGAAGCTTTCAACTTACGTGCGAACCGCTATCGTACCAGTAGACCAAACTGGACTTCGTGTTCTCAATCCAGTGGCCGTCGCCGGGGAGTGGTCGATCCGTCGTCCCCTTTTCCATGATCAACTGCATGTTCTTGACACCGCTGTCGAAGTGCGTGTGGAAGTATCGAGGAAGTGCGGGGTAGGTAATCTCGTATTGCTTGTCTGCCTGGTCTTCGACGTCGGTGATGTGTACAGAGTGTCGGAACACGCCCTTGGTGGAGAAGAATTGATTGACGAAGCTATTCCAGTAGGACAGGTCGTCTTTGCCCTTGGGGCCCTGGACTTTTTGTTAGTGAGCTGTGACTGAGTGCTGTCTTCAGTTTCGACTTACGGGGAAGCCGCTCAAATGTTCGCTAAACTGCATTAACTTGAGTAGGCAGTGTCCCTTCATTCCTTCCCTTCTTTGTTGTTGAGCAAGAGCCATGCTGTTGGCAACGGCAGCCTGGGCCGCAGCCTGCTGCGCGGGGTTCATTTGTTGCGGTCCAGGTTGGGGAGCCATTTGAGGAGGACCCTGCGGTTGAGCTTGAGGCTGAGGAGGCTGCGGTTGCTGGTTCGGGGCCGGGCCCGGAGTTTGAGACGGCGTGGGCTGTCCTGCAGATTGAGGGTTGACGGGTTGCGCGGGCTGCTGCTGTGGTGTCTGATGCGGTGTCTGCTGGGGTTGCGGTTGAGGCTGCTGCGGTCCGCCTTGGGGTTGCTGGCCCTGTTGCTGCTGCTGTTGCGCTTGCTGCTGGGCCTGTTGCTGAGCTTGTTGCTGAGCCTGCTGTTGCTGAGCCTGCTGCTGAGCCTGTTGCTGCTGGGCTTGCTGCTGTTGCATTGCCATCTGGGCCTGTTGGAGGTTTTGCATGTGCTGAGGGTTCATCTGCACCGGCTGGCCGGGCTGTTGTTGGCCCTGTTGCATCTGTTGATTCTGTTGAGCGACGGCTTGCTGCTGGAGAGCGATCTGCTGAGCGAGCATCGCCTGTGCCTGGGGGTTGTGTTGCTGCTATATCCAATCGTAAGTAATGTGAATAGCAAGTTGGATATGCGATACTTACCGGCCGCATGCCCTGCCTCATAGCCGCGATCTGAGCTGCGTTCATCGGGTTCATTGGCATTCCCATCGGCATACCATTGACGCCCGCCATATTCGCGTTGAAGGCCTGCTGGGCCATGAGCGCTTGTCGCGCCTGTTGCTGCTGCTGGAACAAGCGCTGCTGTGCCATCTGGGTGGCGTGCGCCATCGCCGCTGGAGTTTGGACTACGCGACTCGGTCAGTAAGGAAGCAAATAGACAAGACACCGAGGCGAGGCGCGTGGGCTCAACATACAGTTACCAAACTGATTTTGCTGGAACATTTGGTTTTGGGCAGGATTGAGATGCTGCAGAGCGTGAGCGTTCGGACCTCCAGCACCCGGCGGCATGCCGCCCATCAACTGATTTGGATTAACCTGACCACCAGGCCCTGATACTGCCATGTGCATCTGGTGAGGCATTCCTCCGCCCGGGCCTTGCTGCCCTGGGTTGTGAGGCATACCCTGGGCCATGGGGTGCCCGGGTACACCTGGATGCTGTTGCATGCCGGCAGGATGGCCTGCAAAAGACGGTCCCATACTCGTCATCATGTCTCCGGCGTGTCGATGATCCACAGCGTGGATATCGACGTGTCTATCCTCCGTACTATCTCATGCGCCAACGTCCAAAGGTGGTCTATCTCGACGACAAATCGGTAATCGGGGCCGCAAAGGTACGAAAGATTGGGGCGGCTGGAGTTGCGGAGATGGGCGCGACGCGGCAGCGATGGAGTCGTGATTTGCAAGACGCGGGAAGTGGTGTCAATCGCGTGGTGCGGGTGCGGGCGGGCTCGACTAGCGTTATCGATTGCGATAGGAGTCGTTTAATGCGAACGGTCGGGTCAACAGGTGAAGAGGGACTGAGAAGGCATCGATGATCGGCGTGACGACAACGGTGGGTAGGCGATATTGTGGTAAGGAGGTCGGGATGCGACGACAAACAACGAAAGAAGTGGAAGTGAGATGTAAGGGGAGGTGAGATGGCGGGTGGGTATGTGCCCTGCGACCAAAGGAGAGCCCGACTGAGTGACGGGGTAGAAAGTTGGCGTCGGCAAAGACGTGGGCGACTAGAGAAGGGAAAATGCGTTGGTTGTCTAAGGTAATCTCGAAAGGATGGATACGACGGACGCAAAGACGTGTCGACGTTTCGCGCGATAGCGAAAGCGAGCGGAAACAGATGTGGGAATCTCGTGAGAGTGGACGACGAATGCTTCAATCGACCGGTGTCGATGACATTCGGAGAGCGGGTTGGTTCGAGATGCCCAATTTTTTATTGCACAAGTCGAGCGCAACGAACAAGCCTTTTCCGCGCCGCCTTGCCTTGCCAGGAAAGCGGGAAGGAGAGAGGGAGAGAAAGATTTGGGGGGGTTTTTTTGGAGGTGGGTGAGTGGTACGGTGCGGTGCTGGCAGGCTGGCTGAAGAAGAACGGACGCAGAGACGACGCAACCAAAGGGAACTGGGCTGGAAGAGAGAGTCTCTGGCTGGGCGTGCTGAGCTCTGGCTCTTTTGCAAGCGAGCAGCGGAAACCCAAGTGATTTGCTTTGGAGGTTGGCTGTTTGGGGGGTGTTTGCAATTAAGCAGTACTACGGAACGAGATGAGTGTCCGGAGCCCCGGTAGACTGGAACAAATTATAAAAAAAAGAGGCTTCAGCCAGGGGTGTTTGAGGAGGAGTAGGAGGCGCTCCAAGTGGTGTCGTAGAAATGGGAGGTTGTATGCGTACTCCGTAGAAAGGTTGAAAGGCGAGGCTTCAACTTGTGGCCAAATCCAAGCCCAGAGGCCGATCAAGAGACAGCAATGGAAGCAGCGAGAGAGAAGGGACGGTAAGGTAAGGTAGGCAAGCTAAGACGAGGCAAGGTACAAGGCATAAGGCATAAAATGGCGGGATAAGGATCGAGGTCGAGCGAGAAAGAGAGAGGGCCCTGGGGAACGGGAACAGAGCAGGGACAGAGAAGCGTGAGGTGGGCGGGCGACCATGCCAGAATGTCGGGCTGCTGCTGCTCTCTGCTCCCATCGGCTTCGGGAGAGTGGGTCCAATCGTTTTGTAGGATACGCTATGTAACAATACGACATGTAGAAACATGGATATGCCGGAATGGGGTGGCGGGAAGCTCCTGAAAAATGCGGGACATGCCTTTATCAAGAAGAGCGGGAGGGCTGCGATCAGCACTTTTATGCAACAAGGCAAGCTTCTTCAGCAATATCCACCCAGGGGTCAAGCAGTGTAGCAGAATTGACCAGCACAGCAAAAGCACACCTCATTGCTCAGCGCACGCAGGAGAGTCCGGGCCGGATACCTTACCTCCAAGTCTCTTTTTGCTACCATCCTCTCACTAGGTGCTCCGTGTCGTCCTTTCAATCTTCCTCGCTCGACCACATCCCGAAATTCCGCTGCAATGGCCTCCACGGCAGCAACATGACAAATGTGCGAAAATGATAGCGCCGGAATCGCGTAGAGCTGCCCGTCCTCCGCCTGGGTTTTGCGTTCGCCAATGACCACCACGTGTCCACCGAACCACCCGGTCGCTTTTACTTGCTCGACCCCATCACACACGTACCGTACCGGAGCACGGGGAAGAGAGGTGTTAGAGGTCATCTCACTCGCGGCCCCCCCCCCCCCCCCCCCCCCCCCTGCCCCCTCCCCCCCCCCCCCTCCTTTCCCGTCCCGCCCTCCCCCCCACCCTGCGTCCCGGGGGCGGGGGAAGGGGGGGGTTGAGGGGCTCCTCCCCCCCGCCCCCCCCCCCCCCCCCATTGCTCGTCTGGTGACATGAACCTTGAGAAAGGGTCCAATGAGCTCAATTTAAATCCTTCTATGGCGGGGATCGGGCACTACGGCGAATATCTCCGAGCTCCAAGGTCACGTGGTGCACAGCGACTCTAGCTTTCCCCCAATCCCCACCAAAACTTTTTTCGGACCCGACCAGAGATCCAAGCTTGAGTCACGTGAATTAGACGTGAATTGGAAGTGGATCCATTCGTCCAAAGGGTCGGGTGTCCGCCCGCCAGGGGAAGGAAAGAGAAAGAAAAATCTTTGAGGCTGTGTCCCCACTATTTCCTTCGTGAGCCTCATCTATAAAATCTCTTCTCCTGCACGTCAATCCGTAACTTCTCACCAACTCTGGGCAACCAACTTCTTTCTCACGCCACACTCTCGTATCGACAGCCAGGACCGCACTCACGCTGCATTCAGAGTTCGCAAGCTTCATTTCAAGCTTTGCAATTGATTGTTTTTTGCGCGCGCGTTTTCTCTGGCTGTCGCTGCGACGGCCTACATACAGGTAAGCATCATATCTTTTTCTTCACACGGCTCTCGCATCTCTCTCCGAATGATGACATTCAAGAAACATTGTCTTCTTTTCCCAACCGAATCGACCATGAAGAAACCTAGTCTGTTCGGGTTCCCCTCGAAAGGAACCTGTTACTTGCCAGTATATTCTGTCTGACACATCATCTTCACTCTTCATCAGTACTGGCATCTCTTGCCCTCAAGAGCAAACCTCGCTGACAAGTGTGATAGTAGGGACACGACGCACGCTGCTACACCTCTCCGCTCTCTCATCACTAACCTTTCCAGCATCTCATTCATCACCCTCGAGCCACAAGGTTAGTACTTTATCTTTCTCCACACATCGACGCAACAATACCACACAACATCATGATGAAATTTCCACTTGTTCGCAGTTTTCACTCGAGTCGCGGCCTGAGCCTTGGCGGGAACGCTTGCAAAAGCGTTTCTTAAGCGACGTATGAGGGCTAACACTTCCTTGGATGTCTGATTTTTTATCACAAACACATGGTTTTTCTACGAACTTGACCTTTGCTCGACGGCAAGCTAACGGGATTTTCAAGAATAGGACGCTTCTATGATATCTTACGTTGCTCAGACCGCGCGTCCAGAAGGACGCGCTGCAAACAGCTATTAATAATAATAATGAAATCTTCATTCATCTTTGTAAACCATATTGTTTCTGCCTTGCTCGTTGTGATTCGTGAATATGACGTGTGCCGGATACTCGCAATTGCATCCGGATGTTGTGGTTAAGGGAAAAATAACGTGGCAAATCCACACGCGATATCATGACAAAATGCCCACGCGATGCCCCAAACTGCCAGTCGTCGCCATGTTCCAATCCCAGTCCAAAACCACGGTCCAACACGGGATTGTAGTGAACGTGTAGGACTGGTGATGTGTCTATGACCCCTTGCTGGGTGTTCACGATGAAACTTCAAACCTCCAAGTCTGATGAGCATAATATCACCAAGTAAAATTGATCAACCATACACGGAGCCTCCGACCTGAATGTCCAAAAGGAAAAATCACCGACAACTCAAGCCATAAGCGTCTGGCGTCAGGTAAGGTATGTAGTGGAAAGCACGCAGGCTCCAATAAAAGAGATGCCGTCAAAAGAGACGCCAAAATGACATCTTCAGCTGCGACAACATCAATCCCATCACCGAACCAGGCAGGCATGTACAAAGCATCCCAGAATACCACACACACCATAAATACCAGAATCGACATCATTGTCTCTCTTGAATTGATAACTTTTTGCTTCCCTCTGCCATGCCTCGAACAAACAACAACGACAAGAGCAACCTCCGCGTCTCTTCCACAAGCGTACTATTCCCAAAATGCAGCCCAACCCCACTGAAACAAACGCCATCACGGAGGCCGTAGCCATGCACCGCGTTATTCACGTTGCCCAAAAAGAACGTTCTAAAATCCGACCTGCACCCAAAACTGATCCCAAGAGTAAACGCCTCCCCCCTTTTCCAGCAGGTGAACGGTCGGGGGGAAAAAGCACCAAAGCCAAAGCCGTCCCATCACAGCACATCCCCCTGAACCGACCGCCCCCTTAGACGACGCGCAACCCTTCCCTAATAGACTCGGGTATGTCCCGTCGTCTGCCGCCCACGATACCTCTCCTGTTCCTGCCCGTCCGACCCCTACCAAGCCAATTCAGCTTGAGCAGCCGGCACAGCTCCTCCATCCTTCTGTTTCCCTCCTCGCTGGCGTCGCCCGTCGCGCCCCCGATGCTGGCGAGTATGCTCATGCACTGCAACATGCGTCCCACCATCTCGGTGACCTGCTTAGAGTCCTCGACGTTCTGCTCTCGCGTAAACGGGCGCATCTGGCCGTCGCTCCCGGCGCTGGCGTAGCTGACGTTGCTAATGGCACGGCTGCGTCCGCCGCCTCCTGCGCTTCCGTCGCCCAGGAGCGTCGTCGCGTTCGAGTTATAGCTCGCCACGGACGGATCGAGGCTCATAGCTGTGCCGGGTCGCATCATGCTGATTGCATCCGCGGGACTTGAAGAAAGCGCCGGATCTGGTAGCGGAGATGCGAGGGCTAAAGATGCGAACGAGGACGGGAGAAATTCGAGAGAAAGCCGAGAGAAGATGGCCTTGAGAGAGTCGTAGCGGGGTAGGATGACAATATCGCGGTAGGCCGTAAGTACGATACGACGCACATCTAGCACTGCCGATGCGGGACTAACGTATGGGCCGCTATCGGAGGACTGTGACTTGACGCCGCCCCAGAATTGACGGGCTTGGTCCGGGTTCATGAGAACGCCACAGCCAGAGAACTCGAGGTCTAAGGGTAAAAAGACGGCCTGCATGTAAGGCAGAATCGAGGTGTAGGTGATGAGCCACATCTCGACGAGAGCCGGAATGACTTTGTCTTCCTGCGTGCGCCGGAGAGTGTGGTCCAGGGAGGCGAAGCCAGTCGACAAGAGCTCGCGCAAATCCTCGAGAATGATGTTGGGCGACATGCGTTGGATGCAGTATTGAATGTGCAACGTCACCAACCTATTGAAATCCTCCACCGGCTGTCGCAGATCTTCGCCTTCAAAAATGACGAGCATTTTAGCTTTCAGATACGGCCAGGCATCGTCGAGCGCCATGCTATTGAGGCCGTATTTGCCTGCGTCAATGGGTTCAGATAGATACGACGACTGATGCGTCAATGTCGGTAGGCTGCTTGGGCCTGGCCATTCCGACGGGAGAGAACTGGACTCGACGCCGAGGTTGCTGCTCTCTTTTTCAGTCTTTTTGTCCCTTCGTCCCTTGCCAAACGACGTTGCAGTCGGGGCCGGACTAGGGGGTAAGTTGAAACTGTACAAACTCGAGGGGGCGCTGGGGTCTGTCGGTTTCGAATTGCTCGATGCGGAAGACAGCGGAAGATGGTAGTCATCCTTGAGCTTGTGCTTTTGCCGCGACAAAAAGTGATGCTTCTTTTCCTTTTCCTTGCCTTCCTTCTCCATGGTGGGCGTCTCGGGCACTGCTCTGATGGTTGCGGACGATGCGTTGTTGAGATTATATATAGATTGGCCGCTGGTATCGATGAGACTACTCGTGCTGAAATTCCCGCGTTGTAATGATGCGAGCGCACTGCCGATCTTGCTCGGACTAGGGAGCGGTTTGTCTTTAGGGTCGCCCTTGGTGCCGATCTTGACCGGACGGGAGAAGAGCTTGACCTTTGATTTTTCTGGCTTCACCGGCTTCGGATCTGGAATAAGTTGCGGCGTAGGATTGATAGGACTGTGCTGTTGCTGCTGCTGCTGATGCTGCGACTGGGGCAAGCCAGGCGATGTCTGCCCCGATCGCGGGAACGCTGCGTTGGCTGCTGCGTTTGCTGCGTTCGCTGCCGTGGTCGCGGCGGCGGAATGGCTTCCAAGTAGGCCGTTGTGGTATCCCTGAGTTCCAAAGCCGCTCTCTCGTGGACCGCTTGCCTCGGTCAGGCTTAGCATAGGCGGGCTGAGTGGGCCCTTTCCGCTGCTCCCCCTCCTTGCGCTCTCGGCGTCTCCGTTGGCCGGGTTCGGGACGGTCTGTGATCGCTGTCGAGCGTGCTGGAGCTGTTGGTGCTGCTGGTGCTGCTGAGTGTTCTGATGTTGAAAGGCTGCCTGCGCCGCGATGTGGCTCGCGGAGAGGGCAGGGCTCGGGTGCTGTTGCTGGTGCTGATGCTGATGTGTTGAAGATGAGTTGGCAGATGGGTGTGACATGCCCACCTGAGACAGGTTCGAGAGGCTCGTCGAGGGCAGCGTTGAGTCGAACAGGCCGGGCGTCTGGCTGTGCTTCCTCGAGTGTCCCTTGGTCAGAGGGCTCGCGGTGCGGGCAGCAGCAGCAGCGCTCACACTCCCGCTCAGTTCGCTTCCTCCTCCCGAGATAGGGCCTACTGGACCTCCGGGCGTGGTTCCCGACCGGTGAGCAGTCGGGCGCGAGAAGTTTTGCAGGCTGGCGGTGCTCGAGTTGGCCTGGGCGGTAAACTGAGCATAGATCGGGGTACTGGTGGAAGGGGCGGCGGGCGCGCTCGGAGCGTGAGATCGTGGCTTGACGAAGTGAATGGCGAGGTTCTCTTCGCTCGATGACGACTCGGCGCGGGCGGGCGGTCGTGAACGTTGCGGGTGCGGTGCGGTGGAAGCTGTCGAGCCCGGCAGAGGGCTGAAGCTGCCCGGCGCTCGGGGCGGCGGGGGTCGTGCTGGTTGCATTGTCGTGGGAGTGTTAGGGTTCTGTTACATCTTGGATTTTCGGACGATTCGAGGATCGGGTGGAGGAGTCTTGAAGGTTTGTTGCGCTTGGATCGGTTTGTAAAAGTGGAATGGTTGTTTTGTCGAGGGCAAGGGCAGTATGGAGAGGTTGTTAGTCCGGTCGGGCGATCAAGAGCACCTTGAAAAGGTGAAAAGTTGTGGTGGTTGTGGTGGTGGTGCTCGAGGATTGAGAAACCTGGAAAGCTGAAAGAAAGGGTGGTGGTGATGTAAGAAGGCCGGGGAAATACGAGGTGAGGGAGGGAAAAGGGTGGTAATGAGAAAGCGCGAGGAGTGGATTGCGCCTCACCCTCACAGAGCCGAAGTGTGAGGTAGACAAGGGACACAAAGATCAGCATCAATGCCCTCTGTACTCCGCAAAGTATTGCTGCGATCCAGTAGGCAATCTACCTTGGCAAGTGTCCGTAAGATAGGTACTCCCCATTGCATCTCACCTACCTTGCCGGTGCCCTGCACGTAATTATACCTGGTTGTTTATCCGTATCAACGCATCGCTTGCCATCCGTCAGCGGCCGCATCTAGGTCACTACCTAATCATTAACCCTGGACTATCGACTTCTCGTTGCTGAGGAAGCGAGCAAAACGGGCGGCCGTCTTCGCTTGCGGTGAGCAAATCCCCCCCAATTGCAGCGCATCCAGCAACCTAACCCCCGCGGACCAAATCCGGGTCAGCTCCCGTCAGATTTCCCATGTAACAGATGACCATGCTACCTCACCTACCCTGCCCGCCAGAACCAACGAACGATGCCTACTGCTGTACTCAACAGTCTGGCGCATTGTGCGGCGAGCCAGCCGTGAGGTTCCAGCGTAATTAATTACTGCCCCCGAGTCCTTTTCTTCTGCCCCCACCTAATAGTCCTGCCGTGATCCCATCCCCCTTGTTTCCACCACTGACGCACCGCGGGTTGCGACCCTGGCATGACCTGGGCGGCGCATCCATGGCTTCCAGTCATCAGGAGGCTTGAGGGGGGCCGGCAGGCGGGCTGACTTAGTGTAATCAACCCCGCAGTTGTTCCAGGTTCCATCTTCAGCGCAACATTGGATTGGGACCAGCTGGAATGGATGGAGGGACGCGAAGAGGGGCAATTGTTCCTTCCAAGCCAACCCCAACGAGCCGCACTCAATTTTCGTCATACCTTTTATTTCACTTATTTTTGCATCGTCTAAATCAATACAACGCAACCACAGCCTACCAAGCCTAATTGCCTTGCCCATCCAACCCACGAGACCACGACATCCCCAACCCATTAAATAATGGCAGACACAAACACCACCGCCGCCGCTCCGGCCCTACACTTCTCAGCAACCTACCAATCCCCCGCAAACGAACCCTTCACCTTCTCCGAATCCCTCCCCGCTCCACCATCCTCCGCGCCCGGCGACAAGTCCGCCTACCTCAACGCCCTGCGCAAGTCCATCAACGCCGCCCAGGAGCACATCAACAAGGAACTCACCGCCCGCATGGAAGAGGACAAGGCCAAGGAGGCCGCAAAGAACGGTGGCACCACCGCAACCAAGTCGGCCGTCGACGAGGCGCTGGAGGAGGAGAATTACGGCGAGGAGGCACCCCCCTCAGACGACTGAAGCGACAAGCAGCTCAAAGGGGAGGGAGGCATGAAAACTTTCTTGACCTTTCACGGCGCCAATCGTACATTCTGTGCCACCTATATACGGGGTATTGCTGTATCATGCTGCCGCTCTCAAAAACCCAAGGCTATGCGAGTACCAATATGTACCAAGAACAAAAAACACAAGCAACGACACCCACACGCCTCAAACTACCGCCCGCCAGCCCGTTTATTGCAAACCCTCAATCACGAAAACCTTCGAGCCCAGTTTCCTGCCCGAGAGCTTTGCGGTCGCTGCGACGTTGCCTTGTTAAAACACGCATAATGGACCACGTTGTTGTCTGGAAGAACCGACACCACGCTTCGCCCCAGTCTCTTGTGGCAAGCGCCACATAGCCGCTCTTCAGTAATCGTCACCCTTCTGTTGCGCCCGCCCTGTCCGCCGGGTATGCCGTCGCCAAGGAGCAGGAGCGCCTGCGTCGATACCAGTTCCGTGTCTCTCAGCCGAGCTACGATGCGCGACTCGTTCACGACGCTGTTAGCAGACCGAATTCTGCCACGGAAGTATGACTCGAGATCGCGAACAGGAAGGTCGTCGGGAATCAGGGAGAGAGTTGATGCTGCCGGTAGACGCGATCCGTGCCTCGACAATAGCTCGAGAGCCGGGTCATGTGCTGGTTTGTGGGGTGACGGTGGGGTCAAATACAGCGAAAGAAGGGTGTGGTAAATGGATGGAGCCGAATCCTCAGGATCATCCGCCGATGACGGGCGTCGTGACTGGTCTGGTGACGAAGGCCTAGAGTCTCTGGACTTATGTACGATATTACAATACCTGAAAAGAGCGATTAGCTACAGTCATATCTTACCAAGGATGCGGTACTCACTCTTCGGCTTTGGCGTAATTTTTCATCTTAAAGACGTAGATTTCCAGTGCCTGCTTGTGCGAGCCCATGTTGCTCAGCACTATGGCTTGAGCTTCGTAGAAAGCAGGATCTTCACCGTGTTAGTTGTTACTGCGACAAGCCATCGAGGGACATCAACTTACCGTCGCGAGGGATGAGGCTGAACGCCTTGCTAAGGCTGTACTGGCTGCTTGTCTTGAGGAACTGCACGAAACGATCCATCTCTGCGTCCCATTCATCGTCGCGTTTCTTCTCCTTCAAATGCTTGATAAAGAGCTCGACAAGACGGTTGTGGAAATCTGGAGTTGACTCGTCAAGCTCGGAGATGATGTGCTCCAGGTACTGCACCTCCAATCCTGGATCGATCCCGCCCAGGAAGCGAGCGATCCGGCCACGAGGTAATGTCTCGGCATTTTCAGAGTCTGCGATAAACACTTCCATGGCCAATTTGGGATCCGCTCTCAGAGTCCATTCCGAGTATTGCAAGATGAGATCGATCTCAGACGGCGGCAGTGTCTGAAGATAGATGACTGTCCTTTGAGGCCCATGCAAGCCCGGGGCAGCCTCATCAGGTGTCTCGGCAGTTCCAAAGCGCTTAAGAAGCTCAAGTGCCTGAGAGTGAAGCTTCTTGCCGCTGAAGAAATCAACCAACTCGTTGTATCGGCTGTGTGAAAGCAGTGCTTCGTTGACCACGTCTGGATCGCAAAAGTTCGGGAGGCGGAAAAGGGGCCCAGCTAGAGCAGGCCTGGTCATCATGTAAGTCCGGAACAAAGCGGTGTCTACAATTCGCGACGTCCTCCGGATCTCTCCCTCTAGCTGGCTCCCCGATTCGTCGTCATGCGAGCCAGACATGAAGCTCTTCATGGTCTCTTCGTTGGAGCCATTGGTATCTGTCCGTTTCAGCTTGCCGGTGCTCGGGTCGATGACCCTTTGTAGACGCGTTCTTGTCCCGACAAGATAACCAGCTAAAGATGTAACGGCAGCTAAGAGCTCCTCGCCCTCAAGCGGCAGGTTCTCGGTGGCTTTGCTTCTGATGCTCCCAGTCTCTTCGACATCTATTGTGTCTTTCTTGGATATGATCGAGGCAGCATCTGGCTGCACCGTCTTGCGGGCACCCATGAATAACTTGGCAAAGCCAACGCCTCCTTTTGCCGGGGATACGGGTGTTTCCGCTGCATCTTCCTTGGGCTTGTCTCCATTTGTTTTCTGCTGCGGTTCCTCCTCACTCTCTTTCTCATCGCTACCAGATTCATCCGGTTGCGCTCCGTGCGCCCAAGCAGACATCTCTCCGGCGATGGATGGTGGGAAAAGCTTGAGAACTCGCTCAGGTGGTGCGTGAACATCGTCCTCATTGAAAAGATCCATGGAGTCGTAAAACTTCTTTTGCTTGAAAAGCATCTCAGCCTTGAGCATTTTGACCTCTCGGAGAGTCTCCTTCTTGTTTCGGAGGAGGGCGTCCTCAAGCATGTTAAGGATGCTGACGGCCTCGTCGTATTTGCCCTTTTCGACCAGCTCGTCGATTTGTGAATCGTAGTCGGTAGCCCCCATTTTCCAAACACATCGGTCGCTGGAGATGTGGAACCCCTTACCCGCGTGAGCGAGACTGACATTAGGTGGCGGAAAGTGAAGTTGCGCCGCCCCTGGAAGGGGTATGGTCTGCAACAGGTGCAACGTCTCTGGATTCCTGACTTCAAGCGAGCCTTTTGACGGAGCTTGCAAAGCCAGGATGTATGGGTATGAGTAACCGATCTGCTCAGGAGCAGCTTGCCAAGGAATCTGTCGTTTTTCAACCGGCTTTCCTTCGTCCGTAATGAACATGGAGTTGATGTCTTTGGCCAACAGCAGCTCGCCTTCGGCAAGCTTCGCGGCGAGCGGCTTGGGCATGTATCCTCCGAGGCCCATATAGCCCATTCCAGCGCTGCTCACCGCTCCGAAACGACTAGCCTGCCCGCCTGATGCCGCAGAGCCTGGGCTGTTGATATCCTCGACCTCATGGGTGACTACGTCGACCAAAACGTATCCCGCGTTCATTCCGCATACGATCTTTGTCGCGCTGGCCCATGTGACGGTTCGTATCGATTCCGGTAATGTAACTTCCCCAACGTCGGCGCTCAGCTCGCTTTCATGCCAGCTCCATAGTAGCAATCGACGACGGACAGCCACCGCCAGGCGACTTATAATCTCTGGTATTCCGGTTGCTGCATCTTTCACGATGTTTGATGTGACGGCAAAGCAGGTGGCGTTCTTCGTTCGCGATAGAGTCTCTAGAGGCTCATAGGTTCCGAGGTCGTGGAGGGATACGTAGTAGTTCGACAACGAGACAAGAGTGTTGGCTTCTTTGATTACGGCGAGCTGCTCAATCGCCCTGTTCGAGAACTTTTCTACCTCGCGCAGTAGGTCTGTAGGTTTCTTCGGCTGTTCTGTCGTCGTGTTGGTCTCGGTTGCGTCTTGCGAACCCGCCGTGGTAGGTTGAGAGGAGCCATTGGCCTGGGTCGGCGACGGAGGCGGTAGCTCGTTGAGACGGTAGATGCGAAGAGCTCCGCTGTTGAGGCCTACGAAAACACGATCGCCTACGTCAATTTATTAGATGAAGATGTCACAGTGAGATTATGCGACTCGAGAGGAGCGCACCATGCGCGAGGATTGTCTCAATCTTGGACTTATCCCGTTGCTTAAGCTCTATGATCGGCCGAGCTGTGAATGCCGAAAGCATGGCGACTGCCAGCTCACCGAGCGGATATGTTGTGTGTTTACTATATCCTCATTAGAAGGGTAGTTTGTAGAGAGAGCGCCAGGTCTGTCACAATAGAGCCTCAAGATGCGATCATGACGGCGCGCGTGTGTGTGAGTGAGAGATTGTTGAGCTCCAGGTATCGGTTCGGGTATGGCTGGGCGAAAGTGCGCCGTCTGGCGGTACGTCAGGGCGAAGACTCCACAAGGGAGCCGATGACCTCTTTCTCTGCCCAATCCGGACTAGTGCCACTGCCACCCTCCCACCTGGAGCAACCTGTCTCCACCTCCTTCAACCTATGCTGTTTACAGCATCTGATTGGTTGGCGGGCTTGCCGGGGTTCGCAGAGCATGTTGGCGTCACATGCATAGAAGCTTACTTTTAACATCATTTCACCTTCTCTACGTCAGAATCTCACGTCTTTCCTCTTGAATATCATAGTTATCAGCTGAAGTTCAGGTATTTAGCAGAGAACTGCAAAGTTATCCGGATCCTTGCCTGAGTAAACGCTTCGCAGTACCATTCTATCGCTTACTCCAGTCTACCTTACATACAAAATAAGAGCAATAAAAGCTATCAAACAGAAACCAGGGAAAAGCCAAGTATAATATGTAAACCGGTGTCTATGTTCCAACCGCAGGCTTCCCTTTGGAGATCCTTTGGATTTACGCCCTTTTTGAAACAAATCGAAGGAAACGCAGCCCAGCATTCTCTTCTTTCAGACATACGATACAGAAATCAATGACCAAATGCGTGTACGTAGCGGTCACGTAAAGACAAGACCTTAGTCCAACCCAGCGACCCTCATGAGGCCATATCCCAAGGACACGACGACAACCAATGTGAGAATACTGCTGGGCACACCTCGGCTGATGAAATGTTTTACTTGGAGGTATCTCTGACCAGTCGGGTCTTCCTTCATAATGGCAGCTGGATCGTTGGTCAGTAATCTGCCGATATTGGGAACGTTGAAGAAACTTACTCATGTTGGGGAAACCACTTGTTGGCAAACCCATAGCGGCACTGCACATCAAAACACCACCCATGACCAACAGATTCGGGTGGGGTTCGTCCATGTTGGAGCCAACGTCAAACACCAGCGGCAGGATGATCAAAGCTGCGACTGTATGGCTGATGAATGTGGCGATGACGAGAATAAGGGCTGAGAAGACGACAAGGACGACGTAGAGACTCATGCCCTCGACCTCCTTGGTAACGACGCCAGCAACCGTGTGCAGAAGACCAGATGACTTGACGGCTTTGCCCAGAGACAAACCTCCGGCAGCCAGAATTATGATGGTCCACGGGAAGTTGTTGAAGTCCTCCTTGGTCAAGATACCAATACCAAAGAAGAGGACGATGGGGATGATGGCAATGACACCCATGTCACCAAAGATGGACTCCATCTGGTGGCTACCGCACCACAGGCCAATGGTGATGAGCGTGACGATGGAGACGAACCATTGGATACCTGTGAACTTTTCCTTCACAGGGCGGATCGGAGCAATGGTGGTTCCCTTGCTCGGTTGGAACGTAACCAACAGCAAGATCCAGATGAGGAGCAGCGAGACGATGCCGACAGGAATAACAATGAAGAACCACTGGATCCAGGTAGGCGCGGGCTTCATGATACCAATAGCGACAACATTCTGCGGCGAGGCAATAGGGGATAGCATGCCACCGATGTTGGAGGCGAGCGCAATTCCCATGATGACAGCCTTAGACATGTTTGACTCTGAGGGCAGCGTTCGCAACATCGGCTGCGGCACAAGTCAGCGATAATTCCCACAAGTAAGGGGGTGAGGGAAAACTAACCTCAATGATGGAGAAGCAAAGAACTGGTGCGGCGACATTGCTGATCAACATGCTGGCAAATGCCGCCACGAGCATGTTGGCAATGAGTACAGTGCGCGGAGTGGTTCCGGCCTTGCTAAGGACAAAAGTCGCGAGCCGCTTGTCAATCTTGCACTTGGAGAGAGCCGCGGCCAGGGTGAATCCACCGAGCAGAAGCATGATGACAGGTGTCCACATGGCCGAGAAGATGTAGGCTGTGGTGGCCTTGGCATCAAGCCTTCTGTAGGGCTTTTCTTCAGAGCGAACGACAGTCAAAACGACGCAGAGGAAGGGTATCATAAGCGACGTAACGAACAACGGGATGGCCTATCTTGAGGTTAGCATCGACCATTTGCATTCGATCCAGAGAGAACTCACCTCTGTAGCCCAAAGGATGCTGACAAACACAAGCAACGCCAAGCAGTTCTGTTGCTCTGGCTTCTCCATGATGGGAAGGAAAAGGAGAAGGAGGAAAACGCCTAGAGCGATCAGGAGAGTGAGCAGAGGCGTGTTGGCAACCCACGTGGGCACGACAAAACGGCCCACGGGAGTAACCACCTCCTTGGTGATTGGGGCAAGCTCATCATCGCCCTGCAACCGCCTGGATCCCGTCGCTCCATCCCTTCCCAGAAGCCCTCTGCCCAAGCTCGCAGCCTCTGCGCGACGCTCCATACCAATCATGTCTCGCCAGACAGTGTTACGCTCCCAAACAACGTGTTCGCGGAGGTGAGATCTCAGGTCTCGCTTGGCGAGTCCCTCGTCGCCTTGAGTCACTATCTCGGCGTACGCCTTTTCCATCTTGGAGATGTTCTCCTCGATACTCTTGATGTTTTCCGACTTGAATGGGTATGCGGAGTCGATGTTGGCAGTCATGTACTTGACCCGCAGCTCCTTGTCGAGAATCTTGTCGAATTTCTTCAAGACCTTTCTGAAACCCGTCCGGTTCAGTTGCACATACGACTTGAGCTCGCAGAGCGAGACGTAGAGGCTGATGATGCGCTTCTTGAGCATGATGCCCGAAGAGTAGAGGAAGGTCTGGTCCGGGATCTCGTCGTTCGCCGTGCTGTACCGCCGCAGCGATCTTCCCAGCGTCAGATCAGTTGAAGCAGTCATGTCAGTGACCGAGTGCCCCAGATTCGGGGCAGTCTTGCGTCTGCCACCGCCAAGGCTTGAGCGACTCTTCGTCAGGCCGGTGGTTTCATCATCGTCCTCGTCATCGTCACTATCCTCCATGTTGCCATCGATCGAGACGGAAGTTCTCCTGCCGTTGACCGAAAGTCCCGGCCGAGAGGCGCTGCCGAATGAACGTCTGGGTTCGCCATCATTTTCGTCGTCCTCTGAAGAGTGGTTGCCAACATCTCCCAATAATTGATTGACCTCGTCGAGAAGTTCGCCCTCTTTGGACACGTAGAAGGAGCAAATCTTCTCCAATTCTACACCGAGCGCACGGCTAAACACATCTTCGGGTTCTTCGTTTCGGATAAGAGGTCTTGATTCGGCGTCGCCTGAGGAGGTTTGGTGGACTGTCTTCTCGAGTTGGTAGATACTGCAACGCAGATCTAGTTAGCTACTTAGGTCTTCAGGACATGGCGCGGCCAGAGGTGGCATTGGGTACTCACAGCTTCTTTAGGTTGCTGTAGGCAATGTAATGACTGCTCCAGTCCGGAACAGCATTAAACTGGATGCTGTGTGAGAACTTCATATCGTCCTGCTCGTCGAGCCACCTTCTCTTCCAAAGTTTTTTCTCTTCTCGTCGGGCTTCGAGGTCCTTTGCGGCCTTCTGAGCGGAGATGTTTTTGTAGTCGGCAAGCTCGTAGCTCTCAGCCTGAGCAACGGTGGAGTTGCTGCTGCTGTTGGTGGAGCTCCCTCCCCGTTCCCGAAGGCCTGTAGAAGGTTTATCGAGGTCAATTAGGACTTGTGGGCTTGCAGTGCCTGCTTGGTGGGTAGAGGAGGGATTACGGAGATCTGCTGGGGGCGGTATGGTGGCAGAAGGGTCGCGTGCGACTTCTTATCGGGCGATTGGTATCGGTATCGCGAAGCTGGTTCAAAGGGTCGAAATGGTGTTTAAGCTACTTGAATAGCATCCCGCGATTTCCTGGTGGCTGCAACACGTGGGGAAAGCGTTGGTCGACCTATTTCCCAGCTTGATGTGCGAGCCGCGTGACGATATAATTGGTTTCATTTGGGATTAGCGTAATCCAGTTCCACGGGCTGCCGTCTCCCAAACGAATAGTGTCAATGTCATTGGTTCCTCGCCGCTCGGATGGAGCAGACAGATTGCTCCAGGTTTGCGCCATGGCTTATGTAAGGCAGTGACGTGACTCGCATATGCTTCTATGGAGATACTGGAGATAGGGCCATAACCGTTTCTTCCACTAACCTTCACAATGTACCTTACCGTGACCTTTCCCACTACCTTACCCGACTCTGAACACCCCTCCATCCTGATTTCTGTCGGCGAAAGTGAAATACCATTTGTTCGTTTTTAGACATCTACCTCCTTATCTACCCTTTCAAATCTCTCTAATGCCCAAAAAATATGTTTCGAGATCCAAAGTCTAACCAAGTCTAAACAAACATCCGTCGTTTATAAGAATATTCTTTCCAACGAAGCTGACTTCCAAGCATAAAAAGCTTCTCGCAAGGGTATCATTTGTTAAATGGTACAGATTCAACAAGTATCAATAATACACCACTTCTCACAATAAGTCCCGGAGTCTCACCCGGAATCGCTCGCAGTTGTACTGGAGCCAAACCACAAGTGGGATGGTGGAGACAGACGCGGCCGTGATGAGCCACTTGGCGCTACTGTTGCTGGTGAGAGATTCAAAAGCATGTTCTAAAAGCGGAAACAACGCTCCAGAGGGGTATCGTAAAAGTGCAAGCGACGCGCTCGACGCAACAGCGTGCTGCGGTGACAGGTCGATGATGTACACAGCCGAAGTCATCTACAACAAGTCTTAAGTCAGTCGTCGTTGGATCTCCTCGCAGGGGACCTCGGTTTCCGTGACCCCGATGCTCGGTCTCCGGCCAGATATCTGACTCTCTACAGAGTACTGGGACTGCAATATGGGAACTCACAGTGATGGCAAACAATCCACTGCCAATAAGGTAGTTTCCAAGCAGGGGCACCAAGTAGGACACCCCGGGCCTCGCAGCCAAGTTGTAGATGATCAGACCGACCACGACAAGGATGGATGCCAGGTTGAGAAGTGGGAGCCGGTGCTCGGGCAGCCTTTCACCGCCGCGTGCCAACCTCTTCACGACGACGTCGGTGAGGAACCCAAAGATGAGAAGGCCGGTGAACATGCCAACCCCCATGCCCGCGAATGCTAATCCTGCTTCTGCGGTGTTGAAGGAGTACACTGCCTTGTATGTCATCGGAACGTCAATGTACAACCACACCTGGAGGCCGTAGAAGAACGATGTTACCAGGATAGCCGGCAGGATGCTCGGCTCCAAAATGAGAGAGAATGGTCGGATCGCGGCCTTTAAGAGCAGCTTTCTGAGAGATTGCTTCGGAGCAATGGCTTTCTCTTCGCTCATTTCCATCTCGAGGTCGTCGAGACTGCCTGACACAGCGTACTTTCGCCGCAAGACCGGGAGATATGTCTCGCACATGAATCCATAAGTCAGGAGAGTGCTGATCAAGCCCTGTCTCACTTGTCAGCATGCTACCCAGGATTCACACACGTTGTTGGAAGTTCAAAGCTTAGCCCTTGGCCCTCGCCAGAGCCTACCAGGACACCCGTTTCTCTCCATTAAACAATACTCACGAAGAGGGTGTTATAGAGAAGATCGCTTACCATCACAGCAAGAAACCCAAAGCAACCTCTCCATCCCAAAGCCTGGGCAATCGCGCCCCCGAGGGCCGACCCAATCGCAGGACTGCAAACACTCCCAAACGCCATAACCGACATGGCGCGCGCACGCTTCTCCTTGGTCATGACATCCGTCGCTGTCCCAGTGCCCTGGGTAATCGGGCTCGCGCCGGCACATCCCGCCAGAAACCGGAAGACAATGAGCCACTCGGCCGACGGCGCGACCATGCAGGCCAAGTTGCACGCGAGCAGGACCACATTGCAGACCTGATAGACGGGCTTCTTGCCAAACGTCTCGCTCAGCGGCGCGAGGAGCAGCGGTCCGGCGGAGAAGCCGAGGACGTAGGCCGAAACTGTTAGGTCCGCTAGCGTGGGGTTGTCCTCGATCTTGAAGTCGCCAATCACCTGGTCCAACGCGGGGGTATAGACTGCAGAAGCCAAGGGTCTGGAGTGGGAAAAAGCGCCGTTGTCGTTAGCGTTTCTGGTCTTAGTTTTCTTCGCGGTAGCAGCGGCGCGAAAAGCTTCTTCCCAAGAACATGCGCCGCTGCATGTCAACCATGCGGGCAGGGTAGATTTAGCCAACTTACGTGACGCAGGTGATGAACGCTACCACCAAGACGTGCGTCCACTTCTTCCTAGACGACCACAAGACCGGGTCGAAGGGTTCACGCTTTTCCAGTTGGGACGTCTTTGGCGCGAGGCGTTGATCGGCAGTTGCTTCCACATCCTCATGCTCTTCCGTTAAGAAGCAGGTGACTTCCTCTGGGGTTTTGTCGTCCGAAGACCGCCATTCTGAACTCTCGACGGCTTGTTTTTCGGCAGGTTGCGAGCCTTGCACGGCGCCGAGCTGGTTTGATGGCATACTTTCTTTGCGTTGTTGGGCAGGGCGTTCGGACGTGACGTAGAGCCCCGTCAATGTCGCAAGAGTTTGCTGATCTTTTCCTTTTGACAATCGGCGATGGTTTGGCCGGGAAAGTATGCAAACTGGGTTCGGCCAGAATCTTGTATACGGCAGACTCAGGCAGGAGAAACACGATACGTTGTCACCGCTGCTCACTGCTTAGTCTACTCTATGCCGAATGTGAGAACATCGAAAAGGGGGATGGCAAGTAGGGAAAATCCCATCTCGCAGAGAGTCTGAACGACGTCCGGACTGTTCGGCTTCATGGAGGACCCTTGGCGTTGAGAGGCGTATCAGATTGGCCCCTCAGTGTTGCGTACGAACTTTAAATTCTAGCTTGTAAAGTGGTCTCATTATAGCAGCGTAGCATTGCATAAGTCGACCAAACATTGCGTCTGGTGCTTCACATGTCGAGTACAAATCTGGAGACCATGTCCTGGCCATCGTGTAACCCTCGAGGTGCGCGATGTCCCGCCGCCTCAACAGTAAGGGTTGTATAGCGCGCATTCATACTTTGGCTGACTACGCCGTACAGACTTTTTACTAGACTTGGATCTCTCGATCATGAAAGGAAACGTCAAACCGACCCCTCAGAAACGGCGGGTTTCTATCAGACGACGAAAGCTACCCTGATGCGGGGGATAGGAAACGGTGAGGCGGCAGTTGTAGTTGAGGTTCAGTAATCAAAACAATAAAGATGACACGATCTTCCACTACAAGAGGAAAGAAGTTGGCATATGCGTACTCACCACCAAACCAGCTCGACACTCTCTTCGTACGACGTTGCGACAACCTCAGAAGAGGTTCCGGGTGGAGATCGGCCTCCTTCCTAAAACGGAAACAAAAGTGATCCACTTCAGATATAGTGCTGGCCCGGGCTCTCCCCTCGGACTCTTGCCAAAGATGGACGCCCCAGAGAAAGTGCCAAACTCGGCTGAGCCGCCTGTTGGGGATGTGGACGTGGAAAAGAATTATGAAAAGAGCGACGATGGTAACAACGTCACGAGTACGCCAAAGCCGGACGAGATGCGGCCTAGATTCTTTGACGGGACGGCTACTCTCACCGTGGGAGGCCAAGTGGTTCTCATTCCCACGCCAAGCGCGGACCCCAGAGGTATGGTGATGATCTGCTTCTCTGATGTTAGTCTCAATCACTCGACTCACAACAAATGCAGACCCTCTCAATCTACCAAAATGGCACAAACAGCTCATCATAGGCATTATCGTCCTGTGTAAGTCACCGTGAACTTCAGAGGGAAATGACTTGACTCATACGAGATGCGTGTAGACGCAATATCCGGTCTGTGCCTCATCACCGCACTATCCGCACTCATTGTGTTCATCATGCCCGACTACCAACGTGATGGAATCACACCGGATCAGATCTCAAATCTCTTCACATTTCCAAACCTCTTCCTCGGTCTCGGAAATCTGGTGTCGATGCCGATCGCCGTAGCTATAGGCCGTCGCCCCGTCATCCTAGCATCCAACGTGCTACTCTTCCTGGCCGCTGTCCTCTGCGCAACGAACCGCAACTACTACTGGCACTTAGGCGGGCGTATGGTTGCAGCATTTGCTGCAGCTCAGTGCCAGGCATTGGCTCTTCTTATCCTACAGGTATGAGCTCTTTGGACAGCGAGTCTGGTGTGAGATGTTCTGACTCTGGTTTACTTCAGGATATCTACTTTCTCCATCAAAGGGCACGCGTATTTCAGATCTATGCCTCCGCCGAAGTCCTTCTCAACTCCAGTCTCGTAATCGCATCTTCGTACATGGCCGATGCTCTAGGCTGGAGATCTTGGTACTGGCTCTTCGCAGGCCTCTCTGGCCTAGCCATGGTTCTCACCTTCTTCTTCGTCCCCGAAACCGCATATGACCGACCCATCGAGGCGTTCATGGGAAGCCACCCGACCGACAGAAGCAACCTCTTACCAGCAGTACAAAACACCGGTCCTGGCACCATTACCAGAAGCCGCTCTCCCGGGCCAAAGTACGCAACAGTAGACGAGAGGCCTGCCGCCGACCTGGAACACTTTAAGGAACGCACCTTCACCTCGAACCTGCGCGTCTTCGTGCACAAGCCCACCTGGCCCCGATGTTGGCTCTGCCTGAAACAAATAGGCCAGGTCTTTCTATTCCCCCACGTCCTCTGGGTCGCCATAAACAACGGGCTCTTCCAAGGCATCGACGTCTCGATCCAGATGACGTACGCAGAAGTCCTCGTCAAACCCCCCTACAACTGGGCCAACACATCGGTATCCCTCATCCAGCTGGGCCAGGTCCTTATCGCAGTCCTCTGCGTGCCCCTCATCGGCTGGCTGAGCGACTACGTCATCCGCTCCTCGGCGCGTCGCAACCACGGCGTCCACGATCCGGAGAAGCGACTCATCGCCTGGATCCTGCCCATGGTGACGGCTCTGATCCTCACTGTACTGTACGGGTACGTGCTCAAGAACCCGGAGCGGTATCACTGGATGGCCATCGTCTCCGTCGTCGACGGCTACCTCATCGTGCTGATGGGCGTCAGCACGGTCGGGACGGCGTATCTCATCGATAGCCATCCGAGCTTCGCGGGCGCTATTCTCGTCGCGCTGCCGGTGACGCGTGGGTTAGTGGGCTTTGGGCTTAGCAAACACACGACGACGTACATTGCCAACATTGGGCCGGTCAAGACGTTTGGTATATATGCTGCGGTGAGTGCGGCATTCTGCTTGCTAGGGGTCGTCTTGTTCTTCAAGGGGAAGAGGGTGAGAAAACTTTGTGCCCAGATGACGCAGTGAATAAGGTCCGTGATACTACTGGGTAATGGAGGGAGTTCTACGAGACTCGGAGCCCTCTACTCCGTAGATGCTCGATACTTCATGTACATATTTGAAGTATGCTTTAGAGATCCGAGACAAGAGAAGCGCCTTGAATTTTTGGAGCGTTAAGAAGTACTCACTCGGGGCCACTCGATATGTGGTGATATCTCAAGCAATAGAATGTGAACACCGAAACTGAAATAGAATCTTTGGAACTCTTGAAAGCAGTGTGTCTGAATCAACAAGTCTGGCTATTGGCATGCTCCGAGACAGTGCATGCCTTCTTCCACCTAGGATTCTGAGGTGGATCAACTGGTGTGTTTGCCGATACGAAGGGGAGAATCGTGTAGCAGAACATATCGATACACTTGTACCGCTGGTCATGGGTGCAGGAACTCTTGATTCAAAGGAACTCCATTTCCATCTTCCTTGGGCAGATATGGCCTTTCAGTCATTGATGCACTCTTGGTTGGCAGAGGCTGTATGGTCCTTCGTGTCAGAACATGCTTCATGTTCTCGTCTAGACCATTCGGTGACAGCGTCTCCCTGATGAGCGACTGAGGACCTATCGGCCAGATTGCTCATCGCAATATATGGTCCGTAGGACACTATTTTCATCCTCCGGCTTTGCGCCATCAATGCTGACCTGTGTGATGAGTAACGGAACGAAAGGCACAAACCACAGGAGAGAATGCCTCAGAGCAGAGACGACTGCAATGCGATACTTTGGAGGATCTTGCATAAAAACAGACCAATAAAGTCATCGTGGATTACAGCCATTGTTGGATGGTGCTCTGTAAACCGATGGGATATGGTAGACGCTTGCGGAGACATAGCTGAGTCAGCACTTTCCCTTAGTCATCAGCCTTATTTTCTGCGGGGAGATTGTTGACATAGCAACGCGCTGCATAAACAGCTAAAGATTACGACCACAACCAATTTATCCCACCATTGCCTGCTTTCCTGCCACACGTCACATGCAATTACGATATTCACAGTAAACCCGGCATCAATCACAGACGGCCGCAACTTCTCAGCAAAACCGAACAGCGAAATCGCCACCCCGAAACAAAACCACTCATCATGTCTTCCGCATTTCGAGAATCGTCGCTGTCCGCCAGCATCAACCGCCAGTCGCTCATGGCGACCCCGTCCGTCGCCGAGACGCTGCCAAACGCCAACTTTGGCTTCGAAGAACTTCGCGATCGTATGACCAAGTTCACCTCAAAGTTTGACGCCTTTATCGAACAGGGTCGCAAGCGCGTTTTGGAGGAGCGAAACGAATTCCGCATGAACGTGGCAGAACTACAAGGTGCGTCGGCGGGAAGGGAAGGAGAGCACTCTGAATTGGACTCGAGACATGATAAGGCGGCGAATCGGGGAAGAAGAATAAATGCTAACATATCCTGTGACCCGCAGAGGACCAGCGCATGAAGAAGAAGGACATTGAAATCCTCCAACTCAAGACGAGCACCCACCAACAAACCGTAGCCAAAGAAAAGGCCGAGACGCGCGAGATGCAGGCAGCGATCGCGCAGCTCTCGGAAGAGCGCGACAAGCACCTGGCGACGCGGGACGCGCTCAAGAAGCAAATCGAGGAGACGCAAAAAGAGATTGACGCCCGGCTGGCGGCGCAGCGGGCGCACGCGAAGCAGCTCGAGGCGCAGTCGCGCTTCAACGTGCCCGAGCTCGAGTTCTGGCAGCAGAACCTGGGTTTGCGGATCGAGGGCGCGGGCAAGGACGACCGGCTCAAGTTTGTGTACACGTACGTCGACGACCAGGACTGGGAGCGGGAGGCGTGGTTCGAGCTCAACACGGCGAGCCGGGACTACGACGTAAGGCACTGCCGGCCCAAGCTGGAGCGGGAGAGGGTGGAGCGGGTGCTGGACCAGCTTAACGAGACGAGGGAGCTGGCGGTGCTGCTCAAGGGGATGCGCGAGTTGTTCGTGGAGGCGATGAAGGCTTGATGGAGAAGAGGGGGGGGAGGCTCCGGGTCTCTGTTTACTGACGAGGCTGATGATCACGATGACAGTTTTCTTTTCGTTCTTCTTTCTTTTCTTTCAATGGATACCCACTTTGGCGCAGGTTTACGTGTTACACCTATCTACAGGCCTATTGCAAGTATGGAGCAGTCCCGAAGCAGCATTGCATGTGATATGTTTCGCGAGTCTGGAACGCACTTGTCGTTCTCGATCATTGGGGTCTCTTTGTCGATGACTATCCAACATGTGAAATCGGGAAAACAGCGCTCGAGGAGAGTGATTCTTGTGGTGGCGCATGCATGGTAGTAGAGCTTCAGCCTCTGGGAGTCCAGAATCCCGAGTCCAGACCGTCGAAGCAATGCGAACTTGAGGGCCTTCACAAGTTGCATATATTGGACGGGTCTGTGCATAAGAGTCCCCTCATGTGCAGCACTCGATGCATAAAATAGAGGGTATTCTCTCTAGGTCAAGATATACCACCCGGACAACTTCAGAATCTGTACCATGCATGTATGACTTGTGCAATCTCAACACAGTTATCCGTAAATTTGTGCACTATGAAATTTAGAACACAGGTAATGGAGAATTCCACCGCTTCACGATAGCAGCAGTGGCAGGTTAGCCTCTCCGCCAGCAAACTGTAAACTTTATTCCAACTAATGCATCCGTTTTGAGTTTCTACTTCTCCTCCTCTTGGTCTCATGTTTCCTTCAGCTACACGTCTACGGAGCACGGTATCACGAGCACAAACTGCAGACCTGCAACCTCTGTTGCGGTTCGGGTTCCCAAATAGAACAAAACGAACAAAACCAAAACTTTAGGAATCCTTCAACACAAAGCTGCATCCCGCCGGAAACTGAGAACACACACCCACACCAAGTCCAGACTCCCAGAGCACACACACCCTTGTCTGCAGCAGAAATGCCCGAGGCTTAGCTCCATTCTTCACAGTCGACTGAGCCACTCATGACTCGGGATCTCGACCCTCCGAAGCCGTCCAGCAAGATCTGAATGATTCATTATCTCTCCCTCCCATTCGCCTGTTCCCCGTCCCCCTTTCCAAGCCTTTCCAAGGCACAACCTATCCGTACGATTACCCGATCCCCCCGACCGCGAAAAGAATCATACCATTCCCCCCCCTTCTCGCGTACCACCAAAAAAAATCCTCCTGCTGCCCAGAGCTCCGCTGTCGCTGCATTGCTGGTCCCTCCTCAGGAAGCCTGTCACCTGTCATTCTGCCGCTCAACCCCTTGTACTAACAGAAAGAGGACGAGAACTGGACTGGTCCGGCAATCGGCAAATGCTCCAAGAGTCTAACGGGCTTCCCAAAGAAAGAAAAAGAGGCCCCGAAAGCAAGGAGGGGCCCGGCCGCAGAAGAAACCAGCAAGGGGCCCGACCATCACCTTGCCAATCCCGGATTCCCAGACAGCTACTCCGCCCATATTCCACTCCGTGCTGATCCACATACTTGACGGTCGTACGGTACGGGTAGGCAGGCCTATGCCTCTTGCCCGCTGGCGCTCGATCACGGGCAGCACCGGCTCTCTGACCGAGCCGAGTCTGGCCTGAGGTGGACCTCCGGTGACCCGGCACCGATACCAGCCCCCCACCCCCCTTCTCTCTTCCCTTCTCCCCTGCCATACCATCCTGCCTCCGCTTCCGCGTCCGCCCCCCACGCTGGCCTTAGAAATTCCCATGGCCTCCGATGCCGTCAACCACCCAAGTCCCGCAGGCTCCGTGGCTTCATCGGTGACCCCCGGCCTGAATTACAACAATAATAAGCGTAGTGCTCCGGACCACCCAAGCCCGGCGGGCCCCGGGAATGCCGAAGTTGTCACTCCCGCCGGCGCCGGCACGTCGCCCGCTTCTCAACCACCCGGCGATTCAAACAAGAAACGCCGTGTCGGTCCTGGCTCCAGGGGCGTCGCCAACCTGACGCCGGAGCAACTGGCCAAGAAGCGCGCCAACGGTGAGCACAAACTTCTCTCGCTCACCTACCCACTCATCTCATGCCTCACTGCACACATGACTTTCTCGTACTCCGTGATCTTCACCTTCCGTCCCATTTCCAGCATTCCTTCGAAACTAGTGCTCGCTGTCGTCCTCACCACCCCCTGTTCACTCACTGCACACCACCCTCGCACACATACATCCTTCTCCACAACATTGACTGGCTCCTCCTCCCCCCTTTCCCACCTCGATGACGACACACCCGCTAACCGAAGTTCCCATCGGCCCCGATCAGACAGGGAAGCCCAGCGAGCCATCCGCGAGCGCACAAAGAACCAGATCGAGAACCTGGAGCGCCGTATCCAGGAGCTGACCTCCCAGCAGCCCTACCAGGAGCTGCAGGCCGTCCAGAGGGCCAAGGAGGCCGTCGAGGCCGAGAACGCGGACCTGAAGCGCCGTCTGGCCACCTTCATCGCCTCTATCCAGCCTCTCATCTCTGCATCTCCACCGAGCCAACGTAAGTTCGTTATGCTCGGGGCAGACGTATCTTTGACTAACACCATATCAAACTCAGCGCCACCGCCGCCGGCAGACCCGCACCCTGCCGTCTTCCCATCTCCAAGCGGCAGCTACTCTCAGGTCCACCAGCACAACGGGCCCATCTCAGCACACAATGCCTCAACGCCCAACAGTGCGGCCTCCCCGGCCTCCATCGACCCGACCGCCGGCTGGCAAACGACGCCCAACGGCAGCGGTGGTGGAGGAGGAGGAGGTCCTGTCTCGGACCTCTCCCCCCCGAACCACATGTACGCCGCGAGCAAGATGCTCGACCAGCAGCGGCAAGGGCTCCGCCACGGCCTCGACCTCGGCCCGGAGCGTCTCGGTCTAGACTTTCTCCTCCTCGACCAGAACGCCCGCGTCGGCAAGATCCAGAGCGGCGTCAACGGCGCCCAGGACACGCCGAGCTACAACCACGTGCCCATGAAGCACGACTGGACCGGCGTCGGCCCCGTCACACACAGCCGGAGCCCTTCCCTCAGCGGGCCGACCGTCCACACCCCGCGATCACAGGTCGACTACCCTCAGCAGCAGTCGCAAGGACAGCAACAACAACAACAACACCAACCGTCATCCTCTGCTCCCCCAGAATCCCGAGCCCTAGGCCACCACACGGCCGAAGTAAAGAACTGCGGCCCAACCTGCCCCCTCGACAGCCTCCTCCTCGACTTCCTCCACGAGCGCCGCCAACGCGCCGCAGACGGCCTCTCCACCCACGAGATCATCGGCCCGCGCTACCCCTCCGTCCTCTCCCTCCTCAACCCGGCGAACAGCAAATACTCCCACCCGCTCTCCAAAGTCTTCACCGACATCCTCGCCACCTTCCCCGACCTCTCGGCCCTCCCGCAGCGCGTCGCCGTCCTCTACATCATGTTCCTCATCATGCGCTGGCAGATCTCCCCCACCCAAGAAAACTACGACCGCCTGCCCGAGTGGGCGCGCCCTCGCCCCGCGCAGCTGTTCACCGAGCACCCGGCCTGGATCGACCACGTCCCCTTCCCCGCGATGCGCGACAAGCTGTGCCGCGACTATAACCCGCGCGAGTACCTCTTTGACAACTTCTTCGTGCCCTTCACCACGACGCTGAGTCTGAACTGGCCGTACGAGGAGACGGATACGCTGCTGCAGGTGCCGGAGTCGGATGAGGTGCTGATTAACCCCGTCTTTGAGCGGCATCTGCGGAGGCTGGAGAATTGGACGTTGGGCCAGGCTTTCAACCAGACGTTTCCTAAGCTGAGGGAGACGTATAATTTGAAGGAGTGAGCTGGTTACGGTTTACGGGACTCGAAAACTACATTGTGGTTTATTCTGGTGCAAGTCTACGAGATGACGAGAGATTACTTCTCGGTCTTAAGGATTATCTTGCCCAACTCTCTTTGCACTTTTCACTCGGTATATAGGGGTCTTTCAAGGCTTTTTAAGGGAAAGGAGGGAAAATGGTTTCTTTTCCGTGGCGTTCACGTGAGGTATATATCACCAATACGGCGTAGCTTTTTGGCACCAAGTAAAGGCAGTCATCATGAGTCAAGCCATATTGCTTGGCTTACCTTTTCTATCTCACCAAGGAATCAGGGTAAGGAAGGGGGGGGCTTTTCAAGGTACAGACTGCGGCGTACGGGAGGTGGATTGGAAAATTAACACGGCATTCTTATCTTCCACATGTACACAGTTGCTCAATCTATGGGAGACGTTCATCAATCGTAGCTCTTGTTACCTTTCTTCGTGTTGATATTGTGTCCGTACCCCAAGACCTTTCGAGTATGACTCCCGTAGTGGCTGACATTCATGTTATGACAGAAGGCTTCTGGTATGGATCCTAGTCGAATTCAGGGTGGTGGTGGTGTTGTTTTCGTGGGCTGTCGCTCGGCGAGGTTTCACTTCTTCTCTTCTCATGCCTCAATAGACGCCGTCCTTCACTGAACATTCGAGGCCGAGGGGTATAGGGGGTCGGTCTCGCTTGCGGCTATTTCTTTCCCACCGGTCCTTCGTCTTCTACATTGCTGTTTCTTTATGCCGCAATATCGCGGGGCCGTGTCTTGTTGTTCTTTTCAGAGGCAGTTATACTGATATCACATATAATACAGCTTGAGACACACAGACCAAGAGCGAACTTGGACTCATTACAGGCCGGTAAATCACAACATCCAGAACTCAGATACTAATCGTCCATCTGTTCTTGAAAAGAAGCAGGCAATTCAACAATGAGGACCCTATGCAACTGAAGCCGAAATGCAACAAAACACCACCAACTTTCCACCAATGCCATCGACAAGCACACATATCAGAGCACATACATCGAAAAAACACATCTTCACAGTAGTAAAGCTTATCTTCCTCCTAAGATATCCATAGCTTTGTGTATGATTAGTGAATCATACCTAGGAGATCATCTTATGGAAGCGGATCCCTGCTCTCATAGAGGTCAACTGGTGCGGAATCACACACGGTCCATACTAAGAACCCCCTTTATTCACAATCCGTATAGAGGCTGCAGACCTCCACGAGGAACCCCTTTCTCTGCTCCTCAAGCACTTCCTCCTTGATTCTTTCCCTGAGTAATTCCATGACTGTCAAAAACTCTTTGTGGACTGAGAGACCCCTTCAACCATCTTCTCTTCCTACGCAACAAAAACACCAACAAAGAAGGGTCATCACCCTCTCCTAGGTAAGTCTCCCACCAGCTCAAAATCCCCATCCCCTGACCTCTTCCCTCTCGGCAGACAAGAGACCAACAAACGAAGTATAGAGACTATTCTAACCATCTCAAAAAAACTCCAGAGCAAAACCAACCATGGCAGAAGAACCCACAATCGTCTTAGAGACACACATCTACTCGAACCCGGCAACCCTCTCCTTCTCGCCAGGCTGGACCAGAAGCTTCCACCTCCGCCTCTCCCCCTCAACAGCCACGAAATCCCAACTCCTCTCCCTCGTCCGCGCCTCCATCGCCCGCCTAGGCCGCGCAGACCCCATCGTCGAGGCGCAAATCACGCTCTACTGGACCTCCCGCACCGGCCGCGTCGTGTCGCTCCCTGGCGACGGCGGCGGCAGCATGGCCACGGTCACGATGCCCGTGTGGCAGCAACGGCCTCCTCCCCACCTAATGACCTTCAACGTCGGATACCCCGCGCTCGTACAGCCTTCTCAGCCGCTGCCACTACCGCGGATGACCATGGACCCTCCGATGCCCTTGGCCATGACATGCTCCAACGGCGTAAACTACCTCCACTCCTACGGCAACCCTGCTATGCAGCAGCAGCCTGCGTACCCGGCCATCGTCCCCGCCGGACAGCAGACTTGGATCATGGGAGGCGGTCCGCCCCAGCTCAGCTTCGTCAACGTAAACGTGCCCACCTCTAACATCGGTGGTGGTGGTGGTGGTGGTGGTAAACCCGTGGTCTCAGACGTCATAAGAGAAGCCCGGCTAGACAGAATTGCCGAGGCCGTGCTAGGCGGGATGCTGGAGTGGGTTTGTGGACCTACGGGGCTCAAGTTGATTGTCGTTGTTGATGTCGATGGGAGGGACGTTGTGCCCGTTGTTGTCCCTGCTGCTCCTGTTGCGGCTGCGGCTGTCGCCGGGACTCCTCCCACGCCTGTGGCGGCTTCCCATTCTTCTTCCCCTGCAGCTACCACACCCGTCGCTCCGGCTTCGCCCACATCCGCGCCGGCCTCGCCTGGCCCTGCTACACCTCCTCCTCCTCCTCCGGCGACTTCCTAAGGGTGGGAAACGGGTATCTTGGCTTTTACACACTAGGAAGCGGTCAAGGGGGGAATAATGATAGGCAACAGCATGGAATAGAAAGGACTTGCTGCCAGGTATGAAGCAGAAGCTCGTCCATAACGACCCCGTATTGATCCCTGGAGGGAAGGAAGTGTGATTATCAAAGAAGGTTTATACCTCAAGTAGCAGAACTCCGAAAGCTACTCCAAAGGTAGAGAAAGACCAAGTGAAAAAGTATAACCCAATGGTTCAAAAGTCGGTCAGATTCAAATCGTAGCTTGGAAGGGGGGAACAAATAGAGGGTTTTGGGGAGGTACCCGGCGCCGACTCTTCGTCGACATTGACATCTCTCGGTCATGTCGATGTAGGAAGATCGGATTCCTGAGCTGGCGAGCAAGCTTCCTTACCAAGGTAGACCGTATCCTACATTGCAGGTAGTTGGGCTGTACCGTATGGACCAAGCTCGACATGTTTGTTCTATCGTCGACATGATCGCCCCTGACTTCACCTAAACCATCAGCAATAACGCCTCAAGAGACCATCAACATAATGTATTTAAAAGCTGTTCTGACGGCTGCTCTGAAAGAAGTACCACGAAGGCCGTGTCCATGTTGGCCGGTAATCTGGGAGCTCGTTGTCCTATCCAACTCTCCACCTCACTTCAACACTCATCATCAACCCCCAAAGCCCCAACCGAAAACATCTTCAAATTCGGGCCCACGCCCGCAAACAAACTCGCGTGCCGGCGCCCAGGCATCCTCTGAAACTGGCAACTCTTCACCGGCGTCCTCGCCTTGACGGTATCCACAGCAGGACACCGCAACCTCCGCCCAGATAGCAGCGAATACATTCCCACCCGCCCATCATCGTGCGCGGCGGCAACAACGCCCGAGTCGACATCAACATCCCACCCGAAATGCATGTGCGCCTCGTTCCGGAAACCCGGGAACTCCACAACCGGCCTCGTCCCGTTGGGTCTTGTCTTACGGTACCGGAGATCGAACAGTGCCATCTTGGATCTCGGCCCCGCGGCGAGGAACTGGTGCGGGTTCACGGCGCGCAGGTGGGCCGTGGCGCCGACGGGGATGTTATCCCACTCGGACCACTTCACGCGCAGGTCAATCAGCCTGACGTCACGGTTGCGGCCGCCGGCGAGGAGGACGTTTGGGTTGGAGGGGAGAAAGGTCTGGTCGAAGAAGTCGCCTTCCGCTGGGCCTGGGCGAGGGCGCGGCGGGCCGAGCCAGTGGATGCGCTCGTCCGAGGTGAGCTTGAGGAGGCCGTATGAGGTGCCGATGATGCAGTTTAGGGAGGAGGAAGAGGGCGGCGCGGGCGTTGTTTGGTTTACGACGCCTTCGCGACGGCCTGTGTTGAAGGAGATGTGGCGGAGGTTGTTCGCTACACGTGGTCTGCGTTAGAAAGAAAGGAGTCAAAGGGGAAGGGAGGCATTACCTCTGTCAAGTAACCAGAGAGGTCGGTCATCATTGGGAGCGGATTTAGGGGGAGAAAAGAGGTAGATGTCGCACGTGTTACTTGGCTCGCGGGATGTAACCATTATGCGATGCGAGTGTGGATGATAGTTGATGGATGAGATCTGGGGACAACCTATCATCTCGTGACGATGTGACAGTCGGCGTTCAGGACGGCTCGAGGCATCGGTGCTAAAGGATATCCTGCTTTCATCAGTTTCTGCTCTGAGCCGCACAGATGTGTAGGTAGCTCACCTGTCATTGTCATCCGTAGGGATATATGATCCTATCAAAGTCTCCTCGTCCAAAGCTATCAAAGTCAAAACACAAACTCGCAGTCGCAATCTCGGAAGGGCCTCAAACTCACTTGCATACGCAACACCAAGCCCTGTCTTTTCATCATCGCCGCCAACATAGAAACAGGGGATATTCGGGAAACTCTGCCTCGCAAAGCTGGGCACGAACGGCACCTCGCCCTTGTCGACGAGCCCCCGGGCCCATGCCGCCGCAGGAACATCCTCGACGCCGAACGCACCATCGACGCGCAGCCTCGCCCTCTCCTCACGACGCACGCCGAGCTCGACGTCCAAGACGCCGCCGATGAGCGGGGCCCGTAGCGCGGCGGATCGGACAATGTGCCGCTTCAGCCGCTCCCGGCGGGCGGCGACGGCCTCTGCCTCGCGGTGCTGAATCTTCCGGCGCTTGACATTGTCGGCGGACCAGGCGGCGGTCTGCGGTGCCGAGGCGCCCTTTTCGATTTTGAAATATTTGTCCTTTTCCTCATCTAGAATGGAAATTTTCCCAAATCAGCCGTCGGGTCCATGAAGGGTACGGTTCAAGTGAAAGATAGACTGAGTGCTCAAAGGAAGGTTGAAAGAACTAAGACAGATAGAGTGGTGTAAGACTTGAGGAGGGCGTGTAAGTAGTACCGTAGTAATACCCGGGGATTTGCATTCGCGGCTGAGGTGCCATAATGGTTTTCCGTCCGGGGTTCGGTCCGCCGCGATGGCTACGCGGTCTCGGCTCCGAGGCAACAGTAAGAAGCCTGTCTTGGGTAGGGATCCAACAAGATGAGA